ATTTTATTACCTCCTTCAAGCTATCTTATTTTGGATCAGATATTAGAGACACAGACAGTATGATCCACATCTGTAGGACTGTGACAGGAGTGCAGGTCAATAAATAAGAGGTAAACAAAAAAGCCGCAGTTGTGGTCTGAGTCAGAGCACATATTTCTGAAAACAGTTTGAATGGGGGATGGGAAGATTATTGCCCAGAGAGTGAGTTTCCCTCTAGACACACTGAAGGTTCCTTATCTTAAGTTCGGGGAGTGAGGAATGAGGGCAGGCATGCTTGTCCTCAGACTTCCTCTGATTTGAAACCACTTACCTCTCCTAGCACCGGAGAGAAGCAAGGGCTTGGCTTGAGGAATCAACAGTGGAAGAGAAACTCCTGGCCTGAAACCCAATCTGAATCCTCCCAGGTTCTCTGCTGTCTGGGTGGGTGCCTGAGGTTTTGATAGGGAGTCTCAGTCTCAGCTAACTGGAACTGAGAGGGGACTGGTGGTTGGGAGAGGATAGAAGGAGAGAAAAAAGTGTTTGGCACATGGGAGTTGGTGTGTGTCAAGAGTCAGCAATAGCCACAGAAGAGGAACAAGGACACTGGATCTTCACTGACTTGCAGAGTGTCCTGCTGGCCTTACAGCCGTGCCGCCCTAATTCATTTCTGAAGCCCTTGTAAATTTGTATGGATAGTGAATTATTTGCCTTAATCCAGATTAGAGGGAGAAGCAAGGAGGGGTGTGCCCACAACTCAGAAAGGCAAGGCAGGAAGGGCAGAGAGGGTGGACACTTGGCTGGGGAGGTGTTGATGTCCACGGTCCTGAATTAAGTAAGATCCAACTCCCAGAATTGGTTACAAAGAAGCAGGGACCTATTACCCCTTTTGGTGTTTTACTGTTGTTTATCCTAGTTCCTCCTTCTGTATTCTTCATTCAGTTAATCTTTTGGCTAATATTAAAATGTCCCTTTTTTAATTCATAGAAAGGATCCCATTTGAAAACTCAGAGACCACCGAAAGTGTCCTGAGTTCCAGGACCAAGAACAGACCCATGAATACAGACCACTCACCTCCCTGTACCAGGTCTCCAGTCCAAAAACTCACACAAACAGGTTAAAATCTCTCACGGTAATTGTGAAGCTTAAAAGAAAAAAAAAAATCTAAGAGTGAAGTCTGGACAGTCAGCCTTTCCAACTTAAACCCAACAGTTGTTTGCAAATACAGCTATCTTATAAGTCAGGTGATATGAACTAACAAATCACATACACACACACACACACACACACACACACACACACACTGTTGTGTAAACAGGTCCCAGCCTAGAAAAGCATTTTAGCAGACAGAATAAGCTTTTTTCTTTTTTTAAAGCATGGCTTAGAACTGGGGAATTGTAAACTGCATTAAGAAAAGCAGAAACCGGATATTTTTTTTTTCTTCCCTTCTGCCTCCTCTGCCTCCTCTGGCTAGTGTGGCTCTCCCATGGGACAGAATTCCACTACACACCATTGTCCCAACCCCCCACCTCCCCACCCAATCGAGAGGTTCCAGAATTTTCTGCCCCTCCATCTCCCACCAGGTGGCTGAGACTGACTCACTCCTCAAACTGACTTTTTTTTTTTTTTTAATAGAGTCAGGCTGGTCTTGAGAGGGGCCTTACTGTGCATTTCAGTTATAATTGTTTCTTTAACGTAGGTCTTAAGAGAAAAGACAGCTCTCCTCTCAGGGAGGCACATATTCCCGTCATATAGACTTTTCCCTTGGTTACATCTGCGCAAGTGCGCAGGCACGCAGGAACACCTGCACCAGGGCTCACGTTGAACACAGCTGCTAACAGATGGACACTTGCAAACTCGGTTGAAAGTTGCCAAGGTTTCCGCCGTGCACCCTGTCTGTGAAGATTGCCTTGCTCTGGATTCCGGCGGGCAGCGAACCAAGCAAGGACTGGGCTCTGTCCTAGCAAGCGCCTGCCACGCAGTTGGGAAAGGCCTCGCTAGCAGGATGGCTTGCCTTCAGTCCAAAGCCTCTGACTTAGTCAGACTTGGGGCTACCCTCCCTCTCCCTTCCAGGACGGACTTCCTAGCCGCTCCCTAGGAGCACCGGTGCGCACAGTTCTCAGCCCAACACTCGGTGGGGTGGGGGCCAGTTTGTCCTTCGCAGTCCGGGAGCCCAGCATCCTGATTCCAGGCAAGTCTGAGCAGGACAGCGGTGGTGTAGCCCTGTCGCTAGGCTCCCCAAAGCCCAGCCTGGACCATGATTAAGGGAGCTAGCGCCCTCGTTCTGCTCCCGGCGGGCCGCGCACACTTGTACACTTCGATTATTTCTAAAGATTGCTTGGGGGGGGGGCTGAAATTGTGGGGGGGGTTGTTTTTGATATTGTGGGGGGTTTGTTTTTGATATTGTGGATGCCCGACTCTCCAGCGTGTTTACAGAACACAAGTCCAAGTCTTCGGAGGTCTGCGCTGCCAGCTGCCAGAAGAAAAGTGGGAGAAGAGGCAAAGCAACGGAGCAGGGCTTGGGGCCCTGTGGTCACGAGGGCACTGGTAAAGGCGGTTCAAACGTCCTAAGTTGGAACCGCGCAGCGTGTAGAGGGGCAAGATCAGAACTAGGAAGCCAGCTGGAACCCGCTCTGCCGCCCCGGCTGCAGGTCCGAGTAGGCTGGAAACCTCCAGTGACTCCACCCCTGGGCCACTGGGCCACTAGGCCTCGAAATTGCTGGGGCTGCTGGCAGGGCTTGGAGAGTCCCGGTTGCCCCTCTACCAACTCCGCGACAGCCAGGGTCTCCGGCGGACGCTCCAGCCTTCCAGGCCACCGAAGCCGGTTCCAGGCGCCCGGAGCTGCGGGCGTAAACTCCGGTCACGTCCCCATCCCACTTTATCCCTGACCCCAGTATCAGCGCAAACTTTCCTGGCGACTCTCCTAGAGCTCTTGTCTGCTCTCGGGCTCAGCCAAGCTGCACAAACAGGGTTTGCAATTATTTCTTTAGAACAAACTATCATCCCGAAATCCTGCTGACGGGGGTCTCCCGACCATTCCAAACCCTTGGCACATGCTTTCTTTGGAGAATGCAAAACAAGTCCTTCCAATCCAGTATAGTTTCTCAAACATTGAAAAGCCGCAACCTCAGTAGGAATATTAGCGTCCTTACGGATCCCGAGGCTGCGGGGTGGGCTGGGCGGCCTGCAAGCGCCATTGGGCATTCCCTGCTTGGTTCTACCTCTTCCCATGCAGCCCAGCCAGGAACAAACTGCAGAAGCCACTCTCCCGAAGTTTGCAGAGAAGTCTGAAGACAATGGGGAGTCAGGGGTTGTAGTGATTAACTGGACAGGGGGAGGAAAAACAAACTGAAACCAGTCATCTGTCACGTCATTTATGCTAAAGAACTGTATACAGTGAATTTTCTCCTACCAGATATTTGCTTTATTTACATCAAACATATATCTTAACTCTAAGAAAATATTGAGTTTAAGCAAAGAAAAACTGCACATAAACCTTCGCTATCGTTCAATTAAAAAGTTGTTTTCTTTTGAATTTATTTTAATGAAACAACTCTAAAAGCCCGATACGAGTATGAAGATACTTTTAAGTTATAGGTGGTGCAAAAAGCCCATAAGTGCTTCGTAAAACATGTTTTACTTCGCGGAGTTGTAAGGAGTTTTAAAGTTAAGCCCCTATCATTAAAGACAAGCAGAACTGAAACCCCATGACCTACGTTTTAAAATAATTGCTACTGCGAAAGACAAAGGGAGCCTTCCGAAAGGGAGTGCTTTCCTGGCCAGTTTATATAAAGGACGAAATGATAATGTAATAATTTATTTTTGAATATAAAACAATATAATTGAACTCATCTCTCCTAAGAAAGATCTACGGAGTCAGATTTAAGTCCAGGGCCATGCTCTGCGCAGGGAGCACTGTTGAACGCAGGAATGTTTAAATGAGAAACCACAAACTTGCTGTCACTTCTCCCCACCTCCTCAAAAGTTCTAAGTGGTAACCACATTAGGTGATGGGGATGCTGGAGGGGAGGTTTAAAGGTGCCTTGAATACGCTAAATAGGCGTTTTCTCTTCTGGACCTGGAAAGGCTTCAAACCCTGAGAAGACAGGGTCTGGACTGGGCTGCTGGGTGTCAGCGAACCAGGGTTCGGGAGAAGCTGGCACATCCGAGCCAGAGGGCGGCGCTTTTCTGTCGGAGATTTTTCCAACCTTGTAAGGAAGTGGGCGCGGGCTGAGAAGAGTCAGCGCCTCCTGATTGGCCGGCCGTCCTCGTGATTTACATTTCCCTGGGCGCCGCCCCCGCCGCTTTATTGACACTAATGAGCAAGTTCTTCCCACCGCTCTCCTGCCTGGAAGTGCTGACAGATCAAGGCAACAAATTTCAATTACAATCCCTAATTTGTGTCCGCAGAGTGTTTTTTTTACCCGTGTTAGTCCTCTCTGGCGCATCAGTCGAGGCAGAGCTCGGAGCAGCCGGAGGAGGTGGAGGGGTTGGGACTGGAGCGCTGCACCGGCGAGAGCGCGCGAGGCCGAGCGGAGGAAACTTGGCGGTCGCATCCCAGGCTCCTCGGATCCCCACGCCGGCGAGAGAGGAAACTCCGAGTCCGAGCTCGGCCCGCAGCGGGGCTGGGGGCAGATCTGGGGGGGTCCCGAGAGCCACTTGGCGCGCGGCGGGGCGAGGAGAGCGAGCGCGTGCGTGCGGCCAAGCGAGGGTGTATGAGCCCGGGGCGGGTGGGCGGGCAGCCGGGATGGCGGAGAAGCGCAGGGGCTCGCCGTGCAGCATGCTGAGCCTCCGGGCGCACGCCTTCTCCGTGGAGGCCGTCATCGGCGCCGAGAAGCAGCAGCAACTGTGAAAGAAGCGGAGGAAGCTGGGCTCGGAGGAGGCGGCGGGGCCGGCGGACGGAGGCTGCGGCCGCGGGGACCAGCGCTGCTCCACGGGAGAAGAAGACGCGGTGGCCCCGCCACCCGCCCGCGGCTGCGCAGACGTGGAGCGGAGCTGCGGCTCCCGCGAAGAGGCGGGTGAGTGAGCCTTCCCGCGCGGCTTCTCCCCTGGTCCAGCTGCGGCCTCTGGGGCGCCGGCGCCAGGCTCGCCGGGCGACCTTCCGGAACCCGCGTCCAGCCTTGCGGGTCGCGCATCCCCTTCCCGTGGGGTTCAGCGGGCGCTTCTGCTCCCTAAGTTTGCCAAGCCCGGGGAGGGGCGGTCAGGGCGTCCCACTGTCCCTGGACGAGCGACGCCCCCCCACGCGTGCGCGCAGCGGGAAGCGGGCGGCGAGTCTGCCGACGTGGTCCCCGGGCGGCCGGGCGCCGCCTCCCCCTCCCGCCATCCCCGCCGCGGCCGCTCCTCCGAGGGGCCTTGAGCGCAGGCGGCCGCGGGGCCTGGCGGGAGCGGGGCCTGGAGAAGTTTCCAGAAGATGCCGCGGGCGGGACCAGCGCTGGGCGCGGCGGCCGCCCCCGCATCCAGGGAGGGAGGCCGGTCGGGGCTGAGAGCACGGGACTCCCGAGGAGCCGTCCTCGGGAACCCGTCGTGGAGTCGGTGGTACGTGCGTGTCGCGACCCGCGCACTTGTTGGATGTTCGCGGCCGGGGCGTCTGGGTCGGGGGACGCAGACCTGGCCTCGCGGGGACTGGACGCGGGCCTGGCGTCCAAGGCCCGGGCCTCCCCTCTCGTGCATCCTTCCTGCCCCGCCGCCCTCAGCGCTCCGGGTCTCTGCCCTTCGCTGTCCAGGCAGCTGCGAGGACGGCCTCCTGCCCGGCGCCTCCCCGCCCGCGTCCCCGGCAGGCTCCCCGAAGGGGTCCCCGGCGCCCGGCCTGGTCCGGCCCGGAAGCCCGCTGCCGGCGCCGCAGGCCCCGAGGGTGGATCTGCAAGGAGCGGAACTCTGGAAACGCTTCCATGAGATTGGCACCGAGATGATCATCACCAAGGCGGGCAGGTGAGCGCATTCGGTCCAGCCCGGCCCCGGCCTCAGGCCGCCGCCCGCCGGCCCAGCGTCCATGTCGGCGTGGTCGCTGTGGACGCCGGCCTGGGCTGCAGAAGTTCCCAGTGCAGGGTACCGACGCGGGGTCAGGTTTACCGCACTCCTTACGCTATTTAGTCTCTCCTTACCAGTCCCCTAGTCCTGGAGCTGCGGAATAGATGCACCATCACCTCCCCTTCCATAAGGGTTTTGCTTTTATTTTCAGGAAATTTTGATTCGAAACTTACAGGTTGGTTCTTTATCAGATCCTGGTACTCCGTGTCCTTGGCTAGTCTGATTAGTGTAGGATGAAAAGTCCCTGTGATCATGTTTAATCGTGTATTACTCTAAAAATCGTTATCCTGACTTAAAATTTCCCGTTTGAGGATCCACAATTAATTTTTTTCTGAACGTGTTGCAGCGCTTTAGCTTTAATGTACTGGGGAATACAACAAAGTTTTGAAAGAATGTTTTTAGAGTATGATTTGCATATCGTTGGTTAGTCAAATAAGTGGATTAGTTGACCACATCATGTTAATTTGAGGTCTGTGAGAGAAATTTGCATTTTAAAGTTTTCAGTTCATTTACTGTAAAGAAATCTAAGAATAATATGTTTCTTTTAAGGTACTTAAAAACAAAACTCAGGGAGTACACAGGGTAAAAATCTGGCTAGCTTAAAAGTATCCAAACTTATTAGAAATTACAAAAACATTTTATTGAATCCATATGGTACCTTCACCATTCTCACAGAGCTTTTATTAATGATCCAAATTCGGTCTTCAACAACACAAAGTCTTATAAAGGACGTAAAGACTTTTTATCTTACAGGTGCGCTGAAGTAACACTAAAACACTCAGCACATTAAACTGTGCTCATGCTTAGTTAATAATAATGGACTTTCTTGTCTCTGGAAGCAGTCTTTAATAGCATTGTTATTTAAAAAATGGTAAATATATTTGTGATATAAGGTCAAATTAACAAAAATTAGATTAACTAGTGGGTCCTAGACATAAATCATTAGAAGAAACTGTTTTTTCTTTTTTTTTAATGGAACAAACAGGTACTTTTTAACATTCAGTACTTGACTGCTGTGCTCCTTGCTGCTGGACTCTTTAAGGGACTAGGCACATTTACTTTAGTATCTCCTTGATACTGGGAAGTCAAGAGAAAGGGAATTTTCATTTGCTTTAATTAGCAATAATTGTGGCTAGAAAAAAAAACATTTTTAGGTAGGATGGGAGAAAGAATGATCTGTAAATACACATTGTGTTTAGTTTCTGCTTTCATAGAGAAGTTTTATTACACCTTTCAAATTTAGAGCAACTTTTGACTTCACCTTTACCAAGCTGCAGACAGGAAGTCCTGTCTCAATAAAGAACATATTGTTTGGTTATAGCATGGCACATTGGCTCCTTGCATTTTTTTATAACCCTCTTAAAATTTCACATTATAATATATTTTATCACTTTCAGAAATTTGAAGTTTCTATTTGATGCATTTTATTGTATTAAACTCCATATGCTTATTGATTTTGTTTCAAAAGCAAAGTTTCTTTAGTATCATTATTCCTTTGGTATAAAATTCTTTGACCTGCTCTTGGGGTAAGTCTATAGCACAGCTCTCCGCGCCGGGACTCCCTAAGCGACATTTAAAACTACAGTTGTGATATGTCCTATGTTCTGACACCATGAATTATGTTACCTGGGGTAATCATAGTGAATGGTATAATTTTGTCCACATTAAAAATAGAGATTAGAGAGGTTTCTTTGCTGTTTTCATTCTTCATCAGAACAAAACAAAATCCAGCCAGTTTCTCCGTTCTTGTATAAATAGGCGGATGTTTCCAGCAATGAGAGTGAAGATCTCAGGATTAGATCCTCACCAACAATACTACATTGCCATGGATATTGTGCCAGTAGACAACAAAAGATACAGGTACAATTATTGGGATCTGGATGATAGGAAAACACTAGGACTTTGCAGGCTAGTGCCCCTTTCATCCCTGTCAGCTGTGATCTTTGTTTCCCAAAGTCTAGAATGTCCAGATCCATGATCTGACACTTATGGGTTCTATAGAAGCCTAGATAGTGCCTTCTCCCGAAGCAAATGTGGAAACTGAATTTTTGTTTTGCTTTTAATAGGTAAAGAAATGGTCTCAGTCACTGGCAGAGGCCAGTTTGATATTGCTACATGAAATGTATCTTTTTGAAATTGGTTTATGTGTCAATTAGAATTTTGACAGGAAGTGCTTAATGCAAAGTTTGTAGATATAAATGAAATGTTATATATTTCCCCCATTTTAAATCTTTACAAATTTCCTTTATCTTATTAAAACATCATAGGTATTTTAGACTTTTCATTTGAAAACCTTGTTTACAAGTAAGAAAAGTGAAATTTCATAATTGATTATGACATTAAAACATCTCTAAACTTGTAATGAATTGTTACCCTTGACTAATGTTTTGGCTGGTAATTAACAGTTGTCCTTTAAAAAAATCTTCATAATACTTGAATTTTGAAAGAGAATATATTTGTTAGACATCAAGTAAACTCCGAAAAGACATATTTTTCAGTTTCAAACCTACCTTTTCATCCTTTTCTTCTACAGGAAAGCAAATAAGCAGTTTTCAGTGACAAAGGCTTTTATTTTTGAAAGAGTTGAAAATACTAATATTTTTAAAAGGAAGTTTGAGCGCCTGGACATTCAGAACCTTGATCTTCTATTTTAAATTCTCTCAGTTTTAGTATATTTCTAAATGAAATAGTTTGGTTTCTAGCACTTTAAAAAGTTGGTTAGTTCTGGTGAAACACGTTTTTGGATGTCAAAAGTATACAGATTTTAATTTGTATACGGGCATATGAAATACTAAAAATGATTAAGATGCTAGTTTTATGTGTAAGTCGTTTTACTCATTTCAATTAAACAAGTCATTAGGAAGTTTTGTTGACATTATCTACTATATAACAGAAACACGAAAGCATTGAGGTTTATATTTATTTAGTATATTGATTAAAATCCCATATTCTTACTTGAGTTTTGGGTTGAGGAAGATATAATTCTGAGTGAGTTTCAAAATTATTCCTTTCTTTTCTAACTTTGTGTTCGCTTCCTCCAGATCTCTTCCACATAGTTTAGATTCTTTATTTTACATAATTA